TTCGCAGTCAATCACAACTGAAAACAATATAGTTGTAACCGTTTTTTTAAGAGATTATGAATTTCCAAATCTCTAATTTCAATATCACTAGGGCTAACTGATTGATTGAATGTAAATCAGTGGCTCTGGAAAAAAGTGTTTTTCAAGAGATTATGAAGTTTCAAATCTATAATGACAATATCATTAGGGCTAACAGATAATCTTTATTCATTGCAGATAAATTAGTGGCTCTGAAAAGAACCGTTTTTTTTTCAAGACATTTACTTCCTGATGAGTCCAGAGAGCACCCCTGGAATTGCGCATGGTGACCCCCGAAGCCTTGGAGCCACGCCTCCCAAGTCCAACCTGCAGCGGAACCTAGAATAACCCTCGTTATTACTAGCGCTGCTACAGTTAGGTCTTGGTTGGTACATCGACCTCCGAATAGGCGTCGAGCACCTAGGCAGACCGTCTTCAAGCATCGCTTCATTCACCATCAGATCCATCTTCGAACTAAAGTCTGACTGCTCATGAAATGACGGCGGCCTCTATTTATATTGACCGGTTCTTACCTGGAGAGGGGATAAGTCCTTACGACAGGCGTAGACTCTGCCCCCTGCCGTCAAGCGCGCGCTGATTGGTCGGCTAGTTCATATTTTTAGCTTCGCAGTCAATCACAACTGAAAAAAATATAGTTGTAACCGTTTTTATAAGAGATTATGAATTTCCAAATCTCTAATTTTAATATCACTAGGGCTAACGGATATTCTTCCGTTGAATATAAATCAGTGGCTCTGAAAAAAAGCGATTTTCAAGAGATTATGAATTTTCAAATCTATAATGACAATATAATTAGGGCTAACAGATAATCTTTTTTCATTGCAGATAAATTAGTGGCTCTGAAAACAACCGTTTTTTTTTCAGGACATTTACTTCCTGATGAGTCCAGAGAGCACCCCTGGAATTGCGCATGGTGACCCCCGAAGCCTTGGAGCCACGCCTCCCAAGTCCAACCTGCAGCGGAACCTAGAATAACCCTCGTTATCACTAGCGCTGCTACAGTTAGGTCTTGGTTGGTACATCGACCTCCGAATAGGCGTCGAGCCCCTAGGCAGACCGTCTTCAAGCATCGCTTCATTCACCATCAGATCCATCTTCGAACTAAAGTCTGACTGCTCATGAAATGACGGCGGCCTCTATTTATATTGACCGGTTCTTACCTGGAGAGGGGATAAGTCCTTACGACAGGCGTAGACTCTGCCCCCTGCCGTCAAGCGCGCGCTGATTGGTCGGCTAGTTCATATTTTTAGCTTCGCATTCAATCACAACTGAAAACAATATAGTTGTAACCGTTTTTATAAGATATTATGAATTTCCAAATCTCTAATTTCAATATCACTAGGGCTAACGGATATTCTTCGGTTGAATATAAATCAGTGGCTCTGAAAAAAAGCGATTTTCAAGAGATTATGAATTTTCAAATCTATAATGACAATATAATTAGGGCTAACAGATAATCTTTTTTCATTGCAGATAAATTAGTGGCTCTGAAAAGAACCGTTTTTTTTTTCAGGACATTTACTTCCTGATGAGTCCAGAGAGCACCCCTGGAATTGCGCATGGTGACCCCCGAAGCCTTGGAGCCACGCCTCCCAAGTCCAACCTGCAGCGGAACCCAGAATAACCCTCGTTATCACTAGCGCTGCTACAGTTAGGTCTTGGTTGGTACATCGACCTCCGAATAGGCGTCGAGCACCTAGGCAGACCGTCTTGAAGCATCGCTTCATTCATCATCAGATCCATCTTCGAACTAAAGTCTGACTGCTCATGAAATGACGGCGGCCTCTATTTATATTGACCGGTTCTTACCTGGAGAGGGGATAAGTCCTTACGACAGGCGTAGACTCTGCCCCCTACCGTCAAGCGCGCGCTGATTGGTCGGCTAGTTCATATTTTTAGCTTCGCAGTCAATCACAACTGAAAACAATATAGTTGTAACCGTTTTTTTAAGAGATTATGAATTTCCAAATCTCTAATTTCAATATCACTAGGGCTAACGGATATTCTTCGGTTGAATATAAATCAGTGGCTCTGAAAAAAGGCGATTTTCAAGAGATTATGAATTTTCAAATCTATAATGACAATATAATTAGGGCTAACAGATAATCTTTTTTCATTGCAGATAAATTAGTGGCTCTGAAAAGAACCGTTTTTTTTTCAGGACATTTACTTCCTGATGAGTCCAGAGAGCACCCCTGGAATTGCGCATGGTGACCCCCGAAGCCTTGGAGCCACGCCTCCCAAGTCCAACCTGCAGCGGAACCTAGAATAACCCTCGTTATCACTAGCGCTGCTACAGTTAGGTCTTGGTTGGTACATCGACCTCCGAATAGGCGTCGAGCACCTAGGCAGACCGTCTTCAAGCATCGCTTCATTCACCATCAGATCCATCTTCGAACTAAAGACTGACTGCTCATGAAATGACGGCGGCCTCTATCTATATTGACCGGTTCTTACCTGGAGAGGGGATAAGTCCTTACGACAGGCGTAGACTCTGCCCCCTGCCGTCAAGCGCGCGCTGATTGGTCGGCTAGTTCATATTTTTAGCTTCGCATTCAATCACAACTGAAAACAATATAGTTGTAACCGTTTTTATAAGATATTATGAATTTCCAAATCTCTAATTTCAATATCACTAGGGCTAACGGATATTCTTCGGTTGAATATAAATCAGTGGCTCTGAAAAAAGGCGATTTTCAAGAGATTATGAATTTTCAAATCTATAATGACAATATAATTAGGGCTAACAGATAATCTTTTTTCATTGCAGATAAATTAGTGGCTCTGAAAAGAACCGTTTTTTTTTCAGGACATTTACTTCCTGATGAGTCCAGAGAGCACCCCTGGAATTGCGCATGGTGACCCCCGAAGCCTTGGAGCCACGCCTCCCAAGTCCAACCTGCAGCGGAACCTAGAATAACCCTCGTTATCACTAGCGCTGCTACAGTTAGGTCTTGGTTGGTACATCGACCTCCGAATAGGCGTCGAGCACCTAGGCAGACCGTCTTCAAGCATCGCTTCATTCACCATCAGATCCATCTTCGAACTAAAGACTGACTGCTCATGAAATGACGGCGGCCTCTATCTATATTGACCGGTTCTTACCTGGAGAGGGGATAAGTCCTTACGACAGGCGTAGACTCTGCCCCCTGCCGTCAAGCGCGCGCTGATTGGTCGGCTAGTTCATATTTTTAGCTTCGCATTCAATCACAACTGAAAACAATATAGTTGTAACCGTTTTTATAAGATATTATGAATTTCCAAATCTCTAATTTCAATATCACTAGGGCTAACGGATATTCTTCGGTTGAATATAAATCAGTGGCTCTGAAAAAAGGCGATTTTCAAGAGATTATGAATTTTCAAATCTATAATGACAATATAATTAGGGCTAACAGATAATCTTTTTTCATTGCAGATAAATTAGTGGCTCTGAAAAGAACCGTTTTTTTTTCAGGACATTTACCTCCTGATGAGTCCAGAGAGCACCCCTGGAATTGCGCATGGTGACCCCCGAAGCCTTGGAGCCACGCCTCCCAAGTCCAACCTGCAGCGGAACCTAGAATAACCCTCGTTATCACTAGCGCTGCTACAGTTAGGTCTTGGTTGGTACATCGACCTCCGAATAGGCGTCGAGCACCTAGGCAGACCGTCTTCAAGCATCGCTTCATTCACCATCAGATCCATCTTCGAACTAAAGACTGACTGCTCATGAAATGACGGCGGCCTCTATCTATATTGACCGGTTCTTACCTGGAGAGGGGATAAGTCCTTACGACAGGCGTAGACTCTGCCCCCTGCCGTCAAGCGCGCGCTGATTGGTCGGCTAGTTCATATTTTTAGCTTCGCATTCAATCACAACTTAAAACAATATAGTTGTAACCGTTTTTATAAGATATTATGAATTTCCAAATCTCTAATTTCAATATCACTAGGGCTAACGGATATTCTTCGGTTGAATATAAATCAGTGGCTCTGAAAAAAGGCGATTTTCAAGAGATTATGAATTTTCAAATCTATAATGACAATATAATTAGGGCTAACAGATAATCTTTTTTCATTGCAGATAAATTAGTGGCTCTGAAAAGAACCGTTTTTTTTTCAGGACATTTACTTCCTGATGAGTCCAGAGAGCACCCCTGGAATTGCGCATGGTGACCCCCGAAGCCTTGGAGCCACGCCTCCCAAGTCCAACCTGCAGCGGAACCTAGAATAACCCTCGTTATCACTAGCGCTGCTACAGTTAGGTCTTGGTTGGTACATCGACCTCCGAATAGGCGTCGAGCACCTAGGCAGACCGTCTTCAAGCATCGCTTCATTCACCATCAGATAAATCTTCGAACTAAAGACTGACTGCTCATGAACAACAGGAACACAAAGTTCCTAAGCGAACCCACCACCTCCCCGGTCCAGGTACCCTCACTCTTTCCGGCCCCAGTGGCGGTACGTGGACTGGACGCTCCTGCAACTTGTGTTCCTGTCGGACGCAAACCCCACCCCCCACCCAATTTTGCCCTTTAAATTTTCGCGCTTTTCCCCCCCTCGGAATTTTGCCCCGTCGAAAGGTGTGGTAAGCTACGGCGCGGAAGCACGGCTGCAGAACGGAAGTGGTCATTTATACTCGTGTACCTTTCTCCGGTTTTACGAGTCGTCCTCTATTTGGGGTTCCATCGGTGGGACCTTGACCTGAGGTCCACATTAAGGTTTCCCAAGACGGCTTTTGGGTTCTTCGGTTTTTTGATCTTCTTTCTTGAGTGTTGCCTCCTGACCACGCCGACAAATGCCGAAGTCGTCAGAAGGCCCGCTTGTTAGTGCCATCTAAATGCCCCGCACCTCAAATGAGATCGGTGCATTCAGCATGGCAAATCTTCGCCGTCTGACCACCGGTACTGCACAGGACTTTGCCTATCTTGCATGCAGTACCTTCCTCGCGAGGTTCTACCCCTCTTCTTTAGGACTCATCAGCTGCTGTGTCCCATATCTTCTAGCAGCTGGCTCTTCGGTCTTTTGTGCCTATGTATGAACCTTGGATCGTAGTCCAAGGCGGCCTTGATGAGCTGGTTCTCGTGTTCTTCGGCGTTGTTGAAGAACTTCCGAGCTCTGGTCTTCATCACTTCGAGCACTGGCACTTGTCTCAGGTCTTCGTATAGCACTCGGTTTGGCACGTACCACGGTGCGTTGACCGCTTCTCGGAGTGCTATGTTGTGTTGTGCTTGGAGCTTCTTCTTCCACGTCTTGGCTGCGTAGCCCCAAGCAACTGACGCGTAGGTCATAATCGGTAGGAGCACCATCTTGATCAGCAGCATTTTGTTGTTCAGGGAGAGCTTGCTCCTTCTTCCAAGCATCGGTCTTAGCTTGGCTCTTGCCATCTTGGCTTTCTGCACTTGGGCTTCTATATGGTGTTTCCAGGTGAGACCCTTATCTATCTTGACGCCGAGGTACTTGCTGGTGTCTGTCCACTGTACCTCTTTTTCTTCGTCACGCACCAGGCCTCTCAGCACTTCTGTGGTCGTCATCTTGAGGTTGCCTTCAGGGGTCTTGCGGCTCTTCCTGAGGAGCATCGCCTCGGTCTTATCTGGATTTAGCTGGATCCTCCATTTCTTGCACCATTCCTGTAGACTGGTTGTCGCTCTTTGTAGGTAAGTCGTAGCCATGCGGGGCTGAAATGACTCGGCTACGTACGCAGTGTCGTCCGCATACATCAGCAGCTGCGTATTTGGGGTCTTCGGAACGTCGGAGCTGTAGATGGCGTATAGTAGAGGGGATAGGACCGCTCCCTGCGGTACCCCAGCCTCTGCAGTTCTGGTCGTCGAGGTGGTGTTTCCCAGTCTAACCCGGAATCTTCGGTTCTTCAGATATGACTTCACCAGCTGAATCATCCCTGTCGAGTATCCCTTGTCTTGCATCTTATAGATGAGTCCGTCGTGCCAGACGGTGTCAAATGCCTTCGCGACATCCATGAACACCGCTCCCGCGACTCGCCGAGCCTGGAACGCACGCGTCCCACACTCCACGAGCCGAAGCAGCTGGTGCTCTGATGAATGGCCGCTCCGGAATCCGAACTGTTCGTCTGGCAGTACTCTAAGGTCCTCGGTTTGTTGTCTAAGTCTTCGCTCGATTGCCCTTTCTGCAACTTTACTCAAGGAAGTTAGTAAGCTGATTGGCCGGTAGTTTTGTGGGAATTTTGGGTCTTTCCCAGGCTTCGGGATGTTTATTACTTCCGCGATCTTCCATCTGTCCGGGAAGTATCGGTGCCTCAGCATAGCGTTCACGATGTTGGTTATGGCCACCATGCCCTTTCTCGGGAGCCTCTTCAGGATTCTGTTCCCTATTCGGTCGCAGCCCGCTGCTTTCCTGGTCTTGAGGGTCTTGATGATGTCCCTGATTTCCGTCGGGGAGGTGGCTTGCTGCACCATTTCTCCTCCTCTCGTAGCTCTTCTGGATCTTCTTTCCACTTCTTCTACGAAGTCTTCGTCCTCATCTGGGTGCATGTATGTCGTACACTGCCGTTGTAAGTTATCTGCGAATGCTTCGACCTTCTCGTCGTTCGTGTACGCGGTCCCGTAGGCTCCTTGCAGCGGGGGAACTTGTTGTCTGCGATTTCTCAGGATCTTCGCTAGCTTCCACATTCCTGGCTCACCTGGTGTTAGTTCCTCTAATTTTCTTTGCCAGCTGCGTTGATGGTGCTCCATCAGGGCTTTTCTCATCTCTTCGGTCTTCCTTTTTAGCTCTCGTTTGTGCTCTGGGTCTCCTGTTCGTTGAGCTAGTCTTCTTGCCCTGTTTCTGTCGGTGATCTTCTGGTTCACCTCTGGGGGTAGGTCTCTGAACCTATTGGGCTGCGTGATGTCTTCTACCGTGGTAGTAGCATCTAGCGCGTCCTGGATCTTCCGTTCTAGGCCCTGAACTGCTTCCTCTATGCCTTCAGGAGTCTCTATCTGAGGTAGTGGGCCGAGTGAGTAGTGAAAGGTTCGCCGGAACCGGTCCCAGTTCACTCTTCTGGCTATCCTCTTCTCCACGTTTGGTGCTCCCTCTCCTATTTCCAGGAATATGGGGTTGTGGTCAGAGCTTCCTTCTTGCAGAACACCAATGTTGCAAGACACGTCTACCTTTTTCAAGATAGCAATGTCTATTACATCAGGCCTTGTACCGTTGTCTGGGTACAGCGTGGGTTCGTCAGGTCCTAGTATGGAGTACTCCGGTTCATCCATCAGCCTCGCAAGGATTTCGCCATGTCCGTTGTTCGTGCGCGAGCCCCAGATCCTAGATTTGGCGTTCAGATCTCCTATGATGACAATGCTCTCGCCCATTCCGCTGATTTGCGTAATGTCGTCCATATGCAGAGTCACCGTTGGTGGTATATATACCGAGATGATGTTCAGCGTGCCGTAGTCCTCCGTGTACACGGCTATTCCTACTGCTTCTGTAGTCCTCAGATCGGGGATTCCTAGCAGGTCGTGGCTGATGCTGCTCCTTACGGAGATCAGCACGCCTCCGCCTCTCTGGTCTCGGTCCTTCCTGTACGTCGTGTACCCTGGGAAGGTCCAGTTTGGAACTCTGCTTGAGAGCATTGTCTCTTGTAACGCCATCACGTCGTAGTCCCCTCGAGTTAGCAGTTCTCCTATCTCGTACTTCTTGTTGGAAGCACTATGTACGTTCCAACTCAATATCCGTAGGGTCCTAGATGTTGGCAGGCTGCCCATTTAGTTGGCGTTTCTTCTGTTCTTGCTTGTCATGAATGCCTCCTTGGCTTCGGGGGTATTCATGATGAGCCTCTTCATTTGGGCCATGTGGGTTTCCATGAACCTCTTTAGTTCATCCCCGTCTTCTTCTTCCCGGTTTGTGGAGGGTCTTTCCTGCCTTCGGGGTGCCGTCTCGTCGCTTCTTGCAGCCCTTGCGTAGCTCTGTCCTGGTCTTACTGGGGCTGGCTTCGTGATCTTCTTCTTCTCCTTCTCCGCGGCGGGTTTGCTCTTTGGTTTTGAGCTTGGGCGTCTTGGGCATCCCCCGTAGTTTGCTGGGTGGCTCCCACCACAGTTGGCGCAGGTTGCCGCTCTTTCTTGTGGCACTTTGCACTCCGATGCGCGATGTGCCCCTGCACATCTCACACACTTCGGTGCCCCGGAGCAGTTCTGCTGGCTGTGCCCGAACTGCTGGCACCTGTAGCACTGGCCCGGTCCTTCTCTCTTCTTCTGTGCCTCGATTTTTACTATCATCTGACAGCATTCTGTCAGATCGTAAATCCTCTTTTCTTCCTTTGGAAGATCCACCTTGACCAGCGGGATCTTCTTCCTGGTTCGCCTGCTGGTGAGTCTGTTTACTCTTCTTGGGTGGAATCCTTTAGATTCCAGGTCCTCTTTAACTTCGTCTTCCCCCGTCATCAGTGGCATGCCCCTGATGATAACTGACAGGGATTTCTCGTCTGGCAGGGAGTAGGTGTGGTGTTCCACCTTGTTCTCCTCGAGCGTCTTCCTTACGCTTCGGAATTCATCCTCAGTCGTCAGTTGGACCTTTATGCCCGTCCTGGTGAGTTTTGCCGGCTTGTCGGCTGGGATCTTCTTTCCCTTCTTCATGGTTTGCCACTGGTCTTCCCTATGTATATATAGGGGTGGCGGCCTTCTTGTTTTAGGCTTGGGAGCTGGCTGGGCCTGCTCGGTATCCATCCTATCTTCGGTGGTTGACGGGGGGGGTGGGGTGGTCTTCTCCTCCACTGTCTTCTTCTTCGGGAGCGGGGGGAAGGGGTCCACTGCCGCTTTCTTGGAGGCTGGTTTCTCGTCAACCTCCTCGGTCTTGTCAGCCTTCCTCTTAGTCTTCTTTTTGGGATCGTCTATCTCAATCCCTTGTCTTGCGGCCATAAGTTCGATGAGCTTGGCCGTCTTCTCGCGCTCTTCGGCGCTTATCCTTCTCTCCTCCAGTAGCTGACGCGTCAGGTCCGCTAGCTGGCAGGATAGTTCCGCTATCTGCCTCTTGAGCTCGCGGTTTTCCTCTTCCATCCTGTTTGGTCGAGGTTCCTCTTCCTGGACCTCTTCCTCCTCTTCGCTGGACGAGGAATACGTGTTTTCGTCGTCCAGCATCTTGGTCACCTTATCTATGGTGTCGCGCTCGATCACCACCATCGACTCTTCCGAGTTCGATTCACTTCACTGCACTTTTACACAATTTCCAGTTGTGACCGCACTCTGGAAATTGTGTATCACTCTCGCACTGGTGCCTTCTCGGCTCACTTCTGCACGATTCTCAGTCGCCGCACTCTGAGAAACGTGTATCACTCGCGCACTGGTGCCTTCTCGGCTCACTGCACTCCGGCTGTGGCTTCGTCGGCCCACTTTCACACAATTCTCAGTTGTCGCCGCGCTCTGAGAATTGTGTACCACTCACTCACTAGTGTCTTTGCACTCCACTACACTTCACTGTGGGTTTGTCGGCCCACTTTGGTGCGTCTGTTTTCGCTAAGTCGCGCTTTTACACAATTCCCAACGAGATGGGAATTGTGTAATGTTTCTTCGTCCACCCGATTTAGGCTTTGCCTTATCGAGTGGTTGTCTCGTCGCGTTTCCGCGATTTTCTCGCGTTTCCGCGCGTTGGTCGCGTCGCTGTCGCGTCGTCGCTGCTCGGTCGCTTTGTCGCGTCGTCGCTTCGGTGTCGCCTTGTCGCTTGCGGTCTCGCTGGTCTCGTCTGCTATCCTCTGTGGTTGGCTGCTGAGTCACAACTGCTCATGATTTTTTTTTTTTTTTTTTTTTTTTTTTTTTTTTTTTTTTTTTTTTTTTTTTTTTAACGAGGGGGGAATGCATTTACGCACCATACCATAGCACGAGCTACGACGTGTGTGGGGCTCCAGGGTCTTGAAGAGATCACCTAATACCCACTAAACCCTAAACCTCCGCGTGGCCCGACTCATCAGCGTCTCGGTAGGCCATGTGTTGTGCGTGACCTGCGGTCTGCTACAACGTCTCCTCATGTGTTTCAGTCTCTGGGAACGCCGGGTTGGTTCCCTTTACCTCGCACATTCTATCGATGTCGTTAAGCGATCATCGATAGAGGGTCTGCTAGTTTCTCTTGAAACTCTTGTTTTCGAAAAATCAAGAGTTTCAAGTCATCTTACCAATATGTTGTTCCTGGTCCTGGTCCTGAAGGGTCCTGGTCCTGGTGGGTCCTGGTCGTGGCGGGTCCTGGTCCTGGTTGGTCCTGGTCCCGGTGGGTCCTGGTCCCGGTGGTTCCTGGTCCTCTGCATCCACGCCGTGGGGGGGGGGGGAGCAGCCGCAAATTCTCCTAGTCTCCTAGTCAAGGTTCCAGTTAGCGGGTGCCAACTGGGACCTTGGTCTGGGGTACCTGGTTCTGCGGTTGCGAGGCCTCTCGTCCGGATCGTAGTCCATGAGGAATCGTAGCTGCTCGTTCGGGTGGTCCTGAGCTTTCTCGAAGGTCTTCTCTGCTTTTTTCCTCATGTACTCGTGGATGGTATCCCAATGCAGGTCTCTACGCAAGGTTGAGTTCCTTACGTAGGAAGGTGCATTGGTGGCGATCCGGAGTAGCTTCATCTCTAGAGCAGCAAGTCGCTTGCGGTAGCTGGGGGCAGCGTACCCCCAGACCGCGGAGGCGTAAGCGAGCTGAGGTCTGGCGATGGCCTTGATCAGCCGTAGCTTGGTCGCTAGCGGCATCTGGCTGTGTCTACCCAGTAATGGATAGAGTTGAGCCATGGCTGCTCTGGTTTTTGCGATGACAGCTTCTATGTGCGCTTTCCAGGTGAGGGACTTGTCAAAAACGATCCCCAGATATTTGACATTGTCGCTCCACTGGATATCTTCATCGAAGATGGATGCTTCGAGAGGTCTTGCAATCCTTCTTCGTTGAATGAAGATTGCCTGCGTCTTCTGGACGTTGATGCGGATTTTCCATTTCACGCAAGAGTCCTGAATTTGGTCCAGTTCACCCTGTAGTCTCCTACGGATGATCTCGGGTCGTCTATGCTTGGCGGCTATAGCAGTGTCGTCTGCATATAGGGCCAGCATTGTGTCAGCTGTCTTCGGCACATCGTAAGTATAGATGTTGTAGAGCAGGGGGGCTAAGGCTGACCCCTGGGGCACGCCTGCTTCCAGCTGACGTCTTGTTGAATGGCATGTACCAATCTTCACCGTGAACCATCTTTGTGTTAGATAGCTCTGGATCAGTTGGCACATGTTCGCATCGATTCCGGCGGCTTCCATTTTGGCGATGAGTCCATCGTGCCAAACTCGGTCGAAGGCTCGTTCCACGTCCAGCAGGACGAGACCGGTTGCCTCCTGGAGATTGAAGCCGCTGGTGATGTTTTCCGTCAGTCGTAGCGCTTGGAGTTCCGTGTTGTGGGAGGATCTGAAGCCGAATTGCTCTGGGGGGGAGAAGTTACAGTTCTTCTGCCTGCTTCTCTAGTCGAACGGCGATAGCCTTTTCGACTACTTTGCCCACCGAGGAAACCAGGCTGATGGGCCGGTAGTTCTGGGCAACTTCCGGTCCTTGCCTGGCTTGGTGAGCATTATAACCTGGGCTTCCCGCCACCGCCGCGGGAAGTGGTTAAGTCTCAGAGTGGCATTGGCGATGTTGGTGAGCGCAGCAATGCCTTTGGTGGGAAGGTTCTTCAGCATCCTATTGTTGATGCCGTCCCTTCCCGGCGCCTTTCTGACCTTCAACCTGCGGATGATCAGACGGATTTCCTCTGGACTGGAGGGGTGATCCGTCTCCTGGCCAGGTGGTCGACTCCTCATGTTTTCGGCTGCGACTTCCACGGCCTCCTCGTGGTTGTCGTCCTCGTCTTCATGGTAATTGAGTCTGCATTCGGATTCTAGCGAATCGGCGAATGCTTCGGCTTTTTCTTCACTGGAGTAGGCCAAGCCGCGTTGGCCGTGAAGAGTGGGGATCGTGGTGCGCTGACGACGAAATTTTCGCTGCATAGACCAGGCCGTACCATCCTGGGTCTCTAGTTCTGCACAGGCTGCATTCCATCTGTTGTTTTGGAGTTCCGCGAGTGCGTTCTTCAGAGCTAACGATGCTCTGTTTCGCGCAACTCTCGACTCCTCTGTCAACAGCTGGAGATGTTCTCGCTTGAGTCTTCTGTTCTCCCTGATCAGGTGCCTAATATGGTGCGGTGCTGGACCATTTAGGTATCTAGGAACTGCCGTAGTCTCGGAGCGGGTGCTGTCCTCGTGCGCTCGCAGGACAGCATTCTCCAGCTCCTCTACTGCGTTGTCCAGTTCCTCCGCTGATCGGATGGTTGGAATTTGAGTGATGTTCCTCTGGACGTTGGATTTGTAAAGGTTCCAGTTCGTCCGTTTGGTGCTCAAGCTATCTCGAGTTCTAGACCCTGTACCAAGTGTTAGTAGAATCGGATTGTGGTCCGACGATCCTTCCACCAGGGTCTCTATCTCGAACTCCTCTCTGATGTTGCGGAGGATGGCTATGTCCAGTACCGCAGGTCGCCCAAGGCCGAATGGAATGTAGGTTGGTTGCTCCAGACCGACGATGACCCCCGCCAGGGCATCGACGTTTTCCTGGAGCTGCCTTGCATTCCTGTCTTCGACGTTGTTGTTCCAAGCAGTTTAGATCTCCGATGACTATGCGTGCTCCTGGGGCCTCTCAGGAGGTCCGCGATGTCATCTTCGTCTAGGGCCTCCCCTGGTGGCACATATAGGGAGGTGATTCTGTAGGGACGGTGGTTGTGATGGACCTGGACCGTGATTCCGTCCCCATTTATGTCTGCGGCATCGTCGAGGACATTGACTCGTCAAGGTACGTTTGACGAGTAATGCGACTCCTCCACCTCTGCCCCTTCTGTCGTAGCGGTACGTCTCGTACGCGGGAAACGTCAGACTATGGGCAGCATCCAACTTCGTTTCTTGGATGGCCATCACCTCTGGTTGGTACTGGTCTAGTATCTCCTGGATTTCTGGTTTCCGTGCCCTGAAACGTTGATGTTCCAGGAGATAATGCGTAGAGATTCTACGTTTTGACCTGTAGACATTTCGGGTCTAGTGCTTGTCTTGCATCTGGCCTCGAGTGCATCCAGGCGGGTTATGATGGCTTGCATCATTGCTAGCAGTCTGTCATCGCCGTGTTGCTTCTGCGCAGTAGTTCCAGTAGCAGTGGCGGCTGCTGGGGCAGAAGTGGACATAGGCTTCTTCACTTTTTGGGCGTAAGAAGTCCTATTTGTGGTGGGGACTGCTTTGGGGGGGCAGAAGCAGCTTTCTTCGGCGCCTTACTACATCCCTTGTAGTTGGCGGGGTGGCCTTCTCCACAGAGGCAACACTTGGCGTTTCGTTGCCCTGTTGGCGGCGCTGGCAGACTGCAGCTGGTGCTGTTGTGGTCCTCTCCACACTTAACGCACCGTTCAGCGAGACGGCAGTTCCGCTGTGTGTGCCCGTACCGCTGGCAGCGGTAGCACTGGCTGGGCTCGGAAGACTTTTTCTTCCTCTCGAAGCTGACCGTGAGCATGGCCAGCCTCTGGATCTCTGCAAGCTTTTCCGGCATCTTCGTCTTGACGAGGAAGAGCGGAAGTGGCTTCTTTGTGGTCCTTGAGGTCAGCTGCTGAACCACGGCGTCTGCGATGCCTTGGCTCACCAGATCCTCTTTGATGTCATTGACTGACATCTCTCTCGGAAGCCCACGAATGACCCTCTGGTCCATCCTGTCCTCCTTCGT